GCCAGTCCGATGGTGTTGGGCAAGCTTCCGAAGGCTTCCCCTGCACCATCAGAGGACTGGCGGAGGTCCTCCACAACCAGGATCGTCACTTTCAGAGGTCTCCCACAAGTGCTCTGATGGTGCAAGCCTCCGAAGCTAGCGATTGCAGTGAGGGGGCCCCCCCGCCAGTCCTCCGATGGTGCAAATGAAGCCTCTGAAGGCCTCCGAAGCCGGCAATCGCAGTTTCAGAGGGCCCCCGGCAGTGCTCCAATGGTGCAAGGGAAGCTTCCGAAGGTCTCCGAAGCTGGCAATCACAGTGAGTGGGGCCCCCACCAGTCCTCCGATGGTGCTTCTGCAGCTCCCTACCTGGGAAGTGACGTTTTCAGACTTTTTTGGCCCATAGGAACACATTAAATAAATTTCAAATGCAATCCTATGGGAAACCGCGCCTTACAAGATGAAAATTTAATTAATGTGTTCCTATGGGCCAAAAAAGTCTGAAAAAGTCACTTATCAGGTAGGGAGCTGCAGAAGCACCATTGGAGGACTGGTGGGGGGGGCATTGCCACGATCGCCGGCTTTGGAGGCTTCATTTGCACTATCGGAGCACTTGCATGGGACCTCTGAAAGCGGCAATCGCAATTATGGAGGACCCCCACCAGTCCTCTGAGGGTGTTGAGCAAGCTTCCAAAGGCTCAACCATCAGAGGACTGGCGGGGTCGTCCTATGGTGGAACATTCCTATGGTTTCCCATAGGAATGCATTGAAATTTTAAAAACTCGCAAAACACTTTCTTCTTGCGGGTTTTTCATTGCACGAGGCATTCGTCTTGCAAGGCACCACTGTACTGATAAAGGACACCCGGACACTCATCCAGCAGATCTTTCCAGAAGACATCAAGGCCCTTTTCCAACACTGCCTAACGACCAGCTATTTTCAGTGGGATATTGAATTCTATGAACAGACAGATGGAGTGGCCATGGGGAGCCCCCTCAGCCCAGTTATAGCCAACTTTTACATGGAGCATTTCAAAAAATGGGCCTTGGCTTCAGCACCCTTCGCACCCACAGTCTGGTTCCGATATGAGGATGACACCTTCGCAATTTGGAACCATGGTGAAGAAACATTGGAAGAATTTCTAAACCATCTCAACAGCATCCACCCAAATATACAATTCACCATGGAAAAAGAAATAGAGGGCCAACTCCTGTTCTTAGATGTCACGGTCTTATGCAAAACTGACCACCTATTGGGACACAAGGTCTACAGATAACCCACCCACACAGACCGGTACCTACACATAAACTCCAACCACCACCCACAGCAAAAAAAGAGACATAATAAAAACACTGGTAGACCGTGCAAATCGGAACTGTGAAGCTCAGTTGCTCAGCACCGAACTCAATCACCTGAATTGGGCCCTACAGGCAAATGGCTACTCCAAAAATGAAGTCACAAGAGCCATCAAACCAAGAAAACAACAGCAGACTGAAGAAGAGAAACAGCCACCCACAAATAAAGTATTTCTGCCATAC